GTTGATTGTATCCTTATGTGTTGATTGTATCCTTATGTGTTGATTGTATCCTTATGTGTTGATTGTATCCTTATGTGTTGATTTATCCTTTTGTGTTGATTGTATTCTTTTGTGTTGATTGTATCCTTATGTGTTGATTGTATCCTTATGTGTTGATTGTATCCTTATGTGTTGATTGTATCCTTATGTGTTGATTGTATCCTTTTGTGTTGATTGTATCCTTATGTGTTGATTGTATCCTTATGTGTTGATTGTATCCTTATGTGTTGATTGTATCCTTATGTGTTGATTGTATCCTTATATGTTGATTGTATCCTTATGTGTTGATTTATCCTTTTGTGTTGATTGTATTCTTTTGTGTTGATTGTATCCTTATATGTTGATTGTATCCTTATGTGTTGATTGTATCCTTATGTGTTGATTGTATCCGTTTGTGTTGATGGTATCCTTGTGTGTTTACGGTATAATTGTGTGTTTACGGTAACCTTATGTGTTTACGGTATCCTTGTGTGTTTTCGGTATCATTGTGTGTCGACGGTATCATTATGTGTTGACGGTATCATTGTGTGTTTACGGTATCCTTGTGTGTTTACGGTATCCTTGAGTGTTTACGGTATCCTTGTGTGTTTACGGTATCATTGTGTGTTTACGGTATCATTGTGTGTCGACGGTATCATTGTGTGTTGACGGTATCATTGTGTGTTTACGGTATCCTTTTGTGTTTACGGTATCATTGTGTGTTTACGGTATCATTGTGTGTCGACGGTATCATTGTGTGTTTACGGTATCATTGTGTGTCGACGGCATCATTGTGTGTCGACGGTATCATTGTGTGTTGATGGTATCCTTGTGTGTTGACGGTGTCCTTGTGTGTTTACGGTATCCTTGTGTGTTTACGGTAACCGTATGCGCTGATTGTATCCTTTTGTGTTGATGGTATCCTTGTGTGTTAACGGTATAATTGTGTGTTTACAGTAACCTTATGTGTTGATTGTATCCTTTTGTGTTGATTGTATCCTTATGTGTTGATTGTATCCTTATGTGTTGATTGTATCCTGATGGGTTGATTGTATCCTTGTGTGTTGACGATATCCTTGTGTGTTTACGGTATCATTGTGTGTTTACGGTATCCTTTTATGTTTACGGTATCATTGTGTGTCGACGGTATCATTGTGTGTTTACGGTATCATTGTGTGTCGACGGTATCATTGTGTGTTGACGGTATCATTGTGTGTTTACGGTATCATTGTGTGTCGACGGTATCATTGTGTGTTTACGGTATCAGTATGTGTTTACGGTGTCTTTATGTGTTTACGGTGTCCTTATATGTTGATTGTATCCTTATGTGTTGATTGTATCCTGATGTGTTGATTGTATCCTTGTGTGTTGACGATATCCTTGTGTGTTTACGGTATCATTGTGTGTTTACAGTAACCTTTTGTGCTGATTGTATCCTTATTTGTTGATTGTATCCTTCTATGTTGATGGTATCCTTGTGTGTTGACGGTATCATTGTGTGTTTACGGTATCAGTATGTGTTTACGGTGTCTTTATGTGTTTATAGTTCCCACAAATAATTACGATATCCTTACGTGTTGATTTATTCTTTTATGTTGATGGTAGCCTTATGTGTTGACGGTGCCCTTGTGTGTTGACGGTGTCCTTGTGTGTTTACGGTGTCCTTATGTTGTTGCCATTCCCCTTTATGCTGAACGTTAAGCAGGGAATTTAATAGCCTTCGTTATAGAAGTAAACGAGTTATCTCCCCCACCTTATTCGATGTCTACATATTTATAAAATGTATTAGGTAGCTACAGGCATGTCGAGGAAAATGTTCGCTTCTAATTGATAATCACACGATAATTTGATAATGTCGACATATCAAAGCCGTCCTATTCCCTTTGATAAAAAGTGACAGATATAAAGATAAAACGATAAAATTTTATTTACACCCCACCCCTCACGTTGTTAAGATTTTTTGTATTTTGTCAACTTCAGTTTTTATTTTCACCTGTAGGGATTCTGCCAGTCTGTTCTCTAGGTTATCTGTTCTGTTTGTAAATCAGCAAGACTAGATGTTAGCTCTTTGTTCTGCGTCATGTCTGTTAAGCTGACCCTGTGCTCTTCTGAGAAGTATGGTTAGCTTCAAATAGTTCACAATTTTGTTTTGACAGCGATATTTTTTACGGTTGAGTTTTAAGGATTTTTTTAGGTTTTGGTTAACTGGTTCAATATCAGATTTTTTTAATTATTTTTTTTGCGTTTTCCTGGAGTGACTTCAGTATGTGTGATGGTGGATGGAGTGCTGAGTTAAGACAGATTCGAGACCAAATTTATGATGAGTTTGGTATGAAAACATTTTTCCATACAAGAAAAGTTGTAAAAGATTTTCGAATATCTTCGTGAAATTTGTCTACCATAACATCTGAAATATTGAAATTTCTTTGTAAAATAATGTCTGACTATTTACGCTGTGTAGTTATGTATAAGGCTTTAAACCTTTTACCATTCAGTATATATTTTGTGTATTAATCTTTATTGTTGTCCCTTTTACCGTTGCTGAACCAATAAGCTGTTTACTAACTCAGCCTTCGGTACCAGTGCCATAGCGACGCCATTACTGATTTCACCTCATATGTCCCGGCTGCCGCTTGAAAAATAAAAATGGTTCGTCATTTTAGTTCCCACAAATAATTTGAAAAAAATAATTTGTTGAGGCTTTCATTGTTCCGAGTGTTAAGTCACACTTTATGACAAACCCAAAGTTGATAAACGTCACAACTTACCACCATAAAATACATTTTAAAGTTTTTGACGGATCTTGTAAAAAGACGTGACACTGGAACTTAAAACAAACCGGACATTTATATTACATTGTATGGCAAAATATAAGAAAGTAACATAACGTTCTTTATATGAACGTGTAGAATTTGAGTTCGGCTGTGTACAAGGCAATCCCTATGCAATACACCTTACTTTTTGTCCCTGGATAGTTCAAAGAAAGAAGGCTGGAATTTCCATGGAGTGGCTTTGCTCGTTTCCTTGAGTTATATAGTGAGTAATACTCACACGTTCTTGATGTTCAATTTCAATCAAATGAAATCAAAAAGTAAAAATTATTTATGTTAAATATTCTTTGTTTGGGTACATTATCAATGCAATTGTAACAGAGTTTAAATGGCCGAATGTCAAACTGACCATGAATAGACCATGCCTGCCTCTAGCTATGTCCTACAATGTTCATAGAAACGTGAAAAGCAATCCCAGTTTATATAGCTCGAGGCAAAATATTTACGGTAAAACATTTAATGACTGTGTTACTTTAGTAATCTAAAACCCCTGAAAACTGGGCGCGTGCAGCGAGTCTTATATTTCTGAGTTTGTAAATATCTCCATTAATTTGATATATATACGGAGGCTGTGGAGATATCATTTCTACTGTATCTATCTTTTGTTTTTTTAAACGAGTCTTTTTCACATCTTGACCACTGACCATCATTGAATATTTAACATTCTATCGAGTACTTGGTTAGGGTCACGTGTTAGCGCTAATACACTTTGTGTTGGACCGCTGAGGAAAACGCAAATGAAGAAACACATTGAATAGAAAAGGCGTACTCCCAAGCAGCGCTTTCGGGTTTTTGAAAAAATCAGAATTTCAGTTCATTTTCAAAAAAGGTAAGATTCGCGGATAATGGGATGCGGAGTCAAACGATGCTGCTCCGAACAGTTAGACTTGAGTAAAACGAAGCTACGTATCACCTGCCTCCTACCCTCATTGAGCGGTGTTAAATGAAGCTGCACCTTACTTGACTCATATATGAGATAGGTTGATAGATAGATAGATAGATAGATAGAAAATTATAATGAAAACAACACAAACTTGCGTCAAACGTTTAACGATGCTGCATTATCTTTCCTCTTGTTAAACGAATATGCAACATACTTGACTCGTATATAAACTAACCACACCGTACCAGACCAGAATATAACGGGCTACGGTAATTGACTCATAAATAAAACGAAGCTACATGTAATTGACTCGTGTATAACGAAGCTACATGTAATTGACTCGTGTATAACGAAGCTACATAGAACTTCACCTATACGTTAAACGGAGCTGCATTTTGTTTCCTCTTGTTAAACGAATATGCAACATACTTGACTCATATATAAACTAACCACACCGTACCAGACTCGTATATAACGGGGCTACGGTAACTGACCTGTATATATACGAGTCAATTACGTGTAGCTTTGTTATATACTAGTCAATTACGTGTAGTTTTGTTATATACTAGTCAATTAAGTGTAGCTTTGTTTTATACTAGTCCATTAAGTGTAGCTTTTTTATACTAGTCCATTAAGTGTAGCTTTGTTTTATACTAGTCAATTAAGTGTAGCTTTGTTTTATACTAGTCCATTAAGTGCAGCTTTGATATATACTAGTCAATTAAGCGTAGCTTTGTTTTATACAAGCCCATTAAGTGTAGCTTTGTTATATACAAGTTAATTAAGGGTAGCTTTGTTATATACTACTCAATTAAGTGTAGCTTTTTTATTCTAGTCCATTAAGTGTAGATTTGTTTTATACTAGTCCATTGAGTGTAGCTTTGTTTTATACTAGTCAATTAAGCGTAGCTTTGTTTTATACAAGCCCATTAAGTGTAGCTTTTTTATACTAGTCCATTAAGTGTAGCTTTGTTATATACTAGTCAATTAAGTGTAGCTTTGTTATATACAAGTTAATTAAGTGTAGCTTTGTTATATACGAGTCAATTACATGTAGCTTTGTTATAAAGCTACATAGACCTCTGACCAAGCGTATAACATAGCTGCATTTTACTATAGTTTGATAAACCGTGTAGATCGAGTTGTCCCGCGTTCAACTGTGCCTAAAGTCAGATCCGTTATCGGTCAGGAATGTGATCAATGAATGCACAGGACGATAAAACTCAGCAGCCAGTCAGTACACAGAACGGGCGCTTACTGCTACACCTGTATTTACACCTGTATGTTACAGTAATGTGATAAGGTTTAATCAATAGCTGCGTACCTGTTTACCACAGACCTGCTAAGATTGGACAGGAAATGGACGATCCCCAGTAGTAAAATGAGCGCACAACAAACCCAGGTTAACGGTTTTACTAACGGGGCGGTTTCCAACCCCCCGGGAACAGACCGCTGGGTGGAGATACAACAATCAACGTTTACAAACTGGGTAAATGAACAGTTAAGTCAGTATAGTGGTCGTTCACTGACTGACTTACGGACAGATTTATGTGATGGAGTTCACCTCGTCGCCCTGGTGGAGACACTCCAGTTTAAGAAGATCGGTCGTGTTTACAGTAAACCCCAAGGACAGATACAGCGTCTGGCCAACGTCTCCCTGGCCTTGACCGCCATCACCGAGGACAACGTGAAACTTGTCAACATAGGTATGTCACATGGCAGTCTACTTGCATACATTGTACATGTACCCGATAATGCACTGCACGCGTGTACCCAAATAACAGGACTGCTTATTCCTGTTTTAGTATTACTAGTACAAGTGTTTAGTGTGACTTTGTATTTTGTTTTAGTGTGATTTGATAGTTGTATTTTAAAATGTTTTTTTGTATTTAGTGTGACTAGAAACTTTTATTGTGATGAGATATTTAATATTAGGGAGATTACATACGTTTTTACTTTAGTTTGACAGTAAACCTCAATTTATTGGAGAGGTTTGTGACTGACTACTTACGTCTTTGTGTGAGTGAATATATATTTAAGGTTGATATTTTGGTTCATTGTGACTGGGTTCTTATGTCTTTGTGTGAGTGAATATATATTTTCAGGGTGATATTTTTGTGATTGCGACTGGATACTTATGTTCTTGACTCGACATAAGTTAACAGGTAGTGTTGTTGTTGAAGGTACTTTCGCCCTTCGCTGGAATAAACCATATGCGACCGGTGTTTATTTCGCCTTACATAGTTAATTACTATGCATAATATTAAATTGTTTAATGATAATCGCTGTCAGGAAAAACGTGCCCTCATTAGGGAGGGCGAAAGCCGAACGTTAAACTGTGGCGAAACCCCCGCATGTAGTTAGAGCCGACTCGTGTGGGAGTCGCAACAGAATCGGAGGTTTTTCTTCTCTGTCTGCTAAGAGGATACCAAAGATACCAAAATTGATCTGCTTCTCTCATTGCATCACTTTGGGGTCTTAATCTTACCTATTCTCACTTCCCTACTCTGTCTTTCGGTTGTGTCTCCCTAGGCAGCCGTCTTCATATGACCTTAGCTGTTGCTACGACGTCAAACCAGAAATCAAAGAAAACAATGTCACAGAGGACGCTAAACAACAAATAAACAAACAACGTTAACCAAGATGTGTTAGAAAAAATATCGCCATCATTCATTCTCATTCATTCTTTATTAGCCAAAACCCCTTCGGCTTATAGGTTCAATCATAATTAGAATAGACAGGAGAGTCACATCATATACATAATACATCGTTCAATAATGTGCATATAACAATACTTAATTAACACATTACAGATGAAACACCACAATACATAAACCTTAAATTAACGCCTCTTAAATGCTAAATATAAATATTTTCCTAAATTGGATAGCTGTCTAACATTATTCATACTAAGAAGTTGTATTAATTTTAAAATGCAGAAGCAACGGTATGAAGATTTTTATATTGTGTCGCGGATCGGCCATGTCGATGCATCTACAGAAAGCACCTGTATTGATAATAAGTTTCTTTCCAGACGATGTAGTGGCATTTTATTAGCCCGTCATCAGACTCATACATGTGACCAGGCAAGGTATATCATGCTACCAGTCCGGTAATGAGATTTCAGCGAGATAACGCTCTCAGCCAAAACTATCATGTAGGCACCATCATTTATATAAAAATAAATAAAACTAAAAACCCGAAAAAATACATGTATAACAGTTTTATATCCTTTGTAAGTGGTAAACAATTCACTAGAATCGTTATGGAAGGATTAAGTATTTGTCACGATCGATGCCATGCGATAAACCTCCAAATCTCAATAGTCTAGACATATTGCCAACAGCATACAGAAATATGGACAACTTAAAATCTATGAATAAATAGCTTCAGTGATATAATTTGTCCACTGGCCTTTTACTGATGCTATCTACCCAGCTGTCCGTTCCAGGAAGCCATCTGTCCGGTTGCGCCTGTGGGATCTCGGCCAAAACCATTGCTGCTGCGAACACTCTGCACTGTAGATGAAAACTACATGATCTTAATGATCATCTAAACCTGTTTTATTCACCGATGCAATAACAACGGTATATGTATGTTTGTTCGGGGTTTTAGCGTCCTCGCAGCAGATAGGGTCATATGAGGACGGGTATAGGTAGTCATATATGATATTTGTGATAAGGTCAGATACTATACTGTAACAAAATACGTATAGTAAGGTCATGTAGTATAAAGTGACCATGATACTCTACATAAGTTCCGTTAGTATCATGAAATTAAGCCATTGATAAACAACAAATCCCGCCAAACGTCTATAGATCAGTACCATTACAGCTATACAGCCGCTGGCACGCTCGTCCGGGTACATCATTTCAATGAGTATACACATGTATAGATGTCGAAATTTCTTACAATTATGTTTGATTGTTCGATTTATTGCTTAGGGCTTTTGTGTTTAATGTCACAACAAAAATACATAGAACAGTATGAGAATACGCAGTTATAAATATGGAAAATAAAATAAAAGTATGTATGTATGAACAGAAAAGAGATGAACGAGTAAAGAAAGGAAGGAAGGAAGGAAAGAAAAGCTAGATTGAACACTAACCGAAGGAAATTTTTCGTTATGTATAGACACTATAGTTTATGTACGTCTGGTAGTCTTTCAGTATGGTAACACATCATCAGAATTAAGAATTGCTTAAAGTAACTAAAATGAAAAGAAAACAGAACCACATAGTATTAAGGTGTCAATGAATTCTTAAATCCTGATCTGTTCACGCGCAGATTTTATCCGGTTGTCGCTACGTCATGACATCTATGTTGACATGTGGATGGAATTGCGACTTCTGGTTGATTCTTTTTGAAAATTGTCTTCATTATCATGTAAGGAAGAACGAACATGTGTGCAAAGAGGGGCATACAGCGCTACACGGCCGAAGGAAGGGGTAACATGGGGTTTACTAAAAGAGAGATTGAAAGTTAAGCTTGTGGAAAAGAACAGAGATTTAAAAAAAAAAAATTGCTTCACCAATTCAACACATAAATCAGTACCTTAATAAAAACGAAAAAAATAAGATGATATATGCAAATAATCATCTAATAAACGGGCATGCTGTGAAGCTTTTTCATATATACGTAGTCACCTGTCATAAATTGTTCATTATCTAGAAAATCTGTATAATTGTTGATTTTGCAATAGAATTGTCGATTTTACCAAAAGTTACATGTATTTGTTTGTTATCGCAAAAATCTATAATATTGCTGCTTTCGCCAATGTATAGATTTTACTAAAATTACGTGTAAGAGGCGAAACAGAAATATTCTATCAAAATGGTGGTACAAGCAGTAAGGAAAGTCTATCATTAAATATTGAATTTTTAAATCCCCTATATCTTAATATGATTAAATATATAATAGATATCAAACCGAAAGCTTTGTTTTAAACTTCCTGGTAATGTGCAAAGTGGGACAACACATTCGATCGTGATAAAATGTAGTATTTCTTGCTTAAGCCAAGAGATATAGCCACTCAACACGTTCTGTACAAATAGTGTACGTCGCCAGCTATTCCGAGAAACTACTTGACAGTCGAACTTTAGAGTCGTGCCGTAAATCTTTTGATTTATTATCGTACTATCTCGAACTAGTAAACAACGAACGTACTATGTTTGCATTAAGAAGCATATTAAACACACACCAGATCTATCAACAGCAGAAGTGTTTGATAGCGAGTTTTTATCCTTGTAACAACTACGGATATATGAGGATGGTGTCCATGGACGATGACGTCACTGAAATATCATAACCTTTACACGGTAGAATGGTATCCCTTCCGGTCAAACTAATTTAACAACAGGCTTATATCAGATGTATCTGGGGGGACACGTCGGAGGTTAACAGAAAAAAAACCCGACCAGCTCATCATTGACCCGATATTTTGCTGTGACAGTTAAACGTTCAAATATAAGACACACAGCTTTATCACTTTTTAAATACTTTATTAGATAATAAATAAAGTCATAATATATAAAAAATATAAAAAAAATCTGTTGGTTTATTTTCATCGTTAAGATTCCCTTTGTCTTGGTTGAGGTAGCGATCGTTTAAATGGAAAGGTAATACATTTTTCTACACCGAAAAATATTGTTTTTGATTACATAAACTAAAATATCGATGATGTTGGAGGGAGGGGGAAATGTTGGAGCTACAAAAGTTTGAAATATGAAGCTAAATGCACATCTAAGATATTATTCACTTAAAAAAACAAACTTTCTTCACCTAATGCTATAGCAGGTTAATACATGTTTGAATAACGAATCTTATGACCACTATGCCATTTTACTTTGCTCTCGTCAATGTTAAACTACCAAGCGTCACGAACAATGCACCTAAAGTTTTCATTAATATGCAAAACCTCATATTCCAGCTGACGTAACCCTTTAGAGAAACCTTCGTATTTTACCTGTCTTGTCTGACACCCAGATAGATCTCATACGTGTGTTTTGGGTTGCATCGGGTTTCACAAAACGCAGGTTTCCTGTTGCAGTTTTTATATGAAATATAATTAGTATATTGTAAATTGTTTTATATTCCGGACATCATTCGCCTAATATGATCAATTCGATCCGGAAATGACGCATGTTGAGTTTGCGTCGGTGGTCCATTAATTCCATAAAATTAAAGTGTCTCCTTATATACTACTATACACTACACGTAAATGGACTGCAAGAATAGGACATGTATAGTCGGGTAGGGTATTATTTCGTGTTATATTTTGTATTAATGTCTCAGTTTTGTATATTTTTTTTATCTACTGTACGTTAACTTAATGCCCTTGTGTATTAAACAGTGGTACATTTGTTTCTGTTTTATCTTTTAACATCTGCTGAAGTTTTGACGTTATTGTTTACAGGTAACGAGGACGTCGTAAACGGCAATCTTAAACTCATCCTTGGTCTAATATGGCATCTCATCGTGCGCTACCAGATTTCAAATCGCAAAACCAAGTCCCCACCAAAAAAGCTCATGCTGAACTGGTTCCGCCTGGCTATCCCAGACTTGGAAATCAACAACTTCACCAAAGATTGGGAGGATGGGATAGCTCTTCAGTAAGTATATTGAATAACATGCACCCCTGAAATGTTATAATGAACTTTACCAACCTTTGAATTGGAAGAGTTCAAATGTGTCTTCAGGGGTGAATAATCTAATTGTACGGGATATTGTCCTCTACTGACATACCATGATAGCTGTGTCTGGGACAAGCTGAATCAAGATCGAAATGATTTAACCAAAACAGGAAATCAAGTTATTAGGACAGAATATGAATCGAAAGTCGAAGGAATAAAACCCAGCTGGAACGAAATGGATACCAAGCCAAAAGGAAAGACATCACGAATCCCTGGAACTAGGTGTTCTGGTAATGATAAACGTTTCATGTGACATATGCGACAGCCATAACCATTTCTGACGTAAATTCCAGGAAACTATGTCGCTAATACCGACACAAAGTATATATTTGAACTTCAAAATTAATTGCGTAAGTTAAAAATTTGAGTCTGTTTGAGAGATCTTGATCTCCATTTTGATAATTTGGTTTTTAATTATTATGAAGACGTTATAAAAGAATTATGTTAATTCAATTAATAATCGTTGCTTGGTTATTTGCAGTGCCTTGATAGAGCGCCTCAAGCCAGGTACTAGTCCAAACTGGAGGAAACTTCACAGCAAAAACAGGTGAAATACTATTTAGAAAATTGTTATATATTGCTAAACAGATACACTACTATTATTTCCTGTATTTTGTGTCGTGATTATTGTCATAAATAATAAACTGCTTCAACTGGTTGGCACTGATACTGACTATGAATGCCAGCTTAAGATAAATCAATGATTATAGAATTACTTCAGTAAACAAGGGTGAGAGTGTATTGGTTTTGTTTATTTACCCAATTATGCAGGGGTTTCAAAAGACACATACATATATAATATATAAGGCTCTGTTACTGTAAAAATAAAAACAGTTTAAAAAAAAGTTGGCACCGACTCGGTAAGTCTTACTCGCTCCTAGCTGCTTCTTATATTCGGATAAAAAGGAGGATACAGTCTTTCGTTTGAAATCGTTGAAATCAGTGTTGTAATTTCAGGGTAGAGAATTGTCGGAGTGCAATGGTGCTCGCCAAGGAAAAATTGAACATACCTCGGGTTATCTCCCCTGAAAACTTTGCCAGTGGTGACCTTGACGAGTTGTCGGCCATGACCTACCTGTCCTACTTTGTCAAGGTCGAGTCCCCTGGTTATTATGACACACTGAACTGGGTGTGTAAACAACTGCGCACGACCACCATTACCAATCTAACGGTAGGTAATAGACATTTACAGTAAAACACTTGTTATTAGATTGCATCGACCTTCAGGTACTGGCCGTAGGTCGGTGTTTTTTCTACGGGAACCCCGGCTTTCCTCCACCACAGAACCTGGCACGTCCTTAAATGACCATAGCTGTTAATAGGACGTAAAACACTGACCACTTGCGTTGATGGGCAGTTAAGGACCACATAACTAACTAAGACATGTAAAAAACGTTTTATTTTTAGATTGTTAAGGGAAAAATATCCAAGGACACATATATTCTTTTTCCTAATTGTAGTTAATTTCGATGATAAAGCGGGTACGTACATGCAAGACGCAGGAAGAGCTTAAAACATAACAATATATGCATAATCTAAACATAATACTGTATACACAAATAAAGAATATTCTTACTCATAATATTTGTTACATACTTAAAGGTATCAGTACAAAACGCGAGATTGAAATATTTCAATGTTGGTCAACAAGTTCCATGTGTGTATTAGTCTTAATGGTATTTTATGTTAATTCACTATATTTCTTTTTACTTACTTATATTTAAATGACATTCCTAGATTTCAATTTTCAATTTTAGTTTTAAAATGTGTCTTAACAAAGGATTTTATATTTGGAATGACCCATCGTCGCTAGCCAAGGGTTACGATTCGGAAGGATCCGGTCTTCCTACCGAGTAGTAAATAGATCGTACCGGATCGTAGCCCCTGGCAAGCGAAGATGAGAATGACCGTACCATTCTTATAGGGGCTTGTCCTAGTTTTAAAGAGTAACAATACAAGCTGTTTGTGGGGAGGCTAAAATGGTGATCCCCGACGAGGGGGTAACCCACACACGGGCCTTAAAATATTCCCTGAGCTATTTTGTTATTTCATTCGTTAAGATTATTTAGGTTGTGAAAAATCAAAATTGAAAAATAAAAGGACTAGGCAAGTTTGTTATTTAGTCCAACAATCTGTGGAAAATTGTGTAAATTTCATAATAACTAATATAAACCTACTATGTGTAGTAAGTAAGTACATGCATATCGATAATTATATAGACGAATCTCTCATTGACTACCAAAACTAAATAACATGGAGAGATTTTTCTTTATCAGTGAGGTGTCGTATGGATGACAAGTGAAAAAAAAAGTTTTTGGTGGTGAACTATATTTTCCCTTGTCAATAAGAGATACATATTGAAATCATTTAGATATATCCTTTGGGTTTTTTAGTGAAGATTTTGGATAAACCATCACATAATTATTACTGAAAAATCAATATGATTATTATTTATTAGAGTAAGACATTTCTTTTTTTCATGTACGAATTAACAGACTGACTGGAATGATGGGCGTCACATGTGTAGCGTTGTCCAATCACTGGGCGGAGAGATCCCGGGCTGGCCCAAGCTTGACCTCAATGATCACGTCGGTAACTGGGAAAAAGGTAGGCGCCATTTTCTGTCTGCATTGCAATGACAAAGTAACAGACTATAAGTAGGAAGTTAAACAAAATAAAACCAACAGCAAACTTTACTCTATCAACTATATAGTTTGCTTCTCAACGCCTTTGGTTCTATGGAGGGTAAATTATTGGCTACATAACCAGCTTATTACATTGCTTGCTATTTTGTGATCAGGTTGTTGTGGTCACGTTGACCTTTTAACGATGCACGGCACATCTTCCTGTTGGTGATGCAAGAACAATGTATTCCTCAATATATCGCCAATATTGGGTTAAAAATTACGGCGCAGACATTTCAGTGAAAACACTGTATAGGTAATTTTACCTTAGACCTTGAGGTTAAGGTCACGATGGCCTCATTTCAGTCGCCATTGACTACACACCTAATGCGTGTATTATAAGGTCCTTTAAAAGTGGTTTAAAAGCTGCATACCAGACCATATTATAATAACTCGCCCTTTGACATGTAATTGTTGAATGTCATGGTAACGTAATTGAAGTGCACTGAATATCTCTGAGTGATGCTTGTTTAAAGTTACATCAGGTCAAGATCTAACTGAGAATTTTGCAATTTCTACAGTTCACATAGATGTGAAGAACATTCTGAGAGCGATGCACATTTGAATTTCACCAATACATCTTTGACGTTGTACATAGTAAAGACAGGATGATTTAAGACGAATCAGTATTAGATATGTCTCCCTTAACAAACGTCCAGATGTCCTAATTCCTCTCATTTATTAGCTATCGCCGGAGGTAAAGAACTTGGTGTCGAGCCCCTACTTAAAGCCAGTGAAATGTCGGACCCCAGCCTCGATCACCTCACAATGATGACTTACGTCGCCAGATTTCAACAGGTGACGCCATCAAAAAGTGACCAAGACAAGGTCAAGGTCACAGCCGATCTCAATAATGTCAGAACAGGGATTCAGGTATGTTTGTTTGATTTTGTTTCAAGACACGCCAAGTCAAAGACACCAAAGTCGACGACACGAACGGCAATCAGTATCAGAATAACGAAAAATGGTTTTGAAATGCTAAGAGCAGACAAGAGAAACAAATTACAGGTTATTAAAGTTGCAACGAGGGCAGTAGATAAATAAATGTATCTTTCGTATCCCTTAGAACAGAAAGCCAATCCGATTGTGCAACACAGACACCCGCTTATGTGTCTTCTTAGTCTTATTGCGGAATGTCCTATGTTCATGTCTTACATTGAAATATACAGATAAAAGCAACAGCCCAAACCATATATATATATACTTGCTTGACATGTATGCTTCTGAAAAGTGTGACCAAAGTGGTCAGATTTTGTATTGCTATCAACCCGCTAAATTTCCCTCTCATAACATTGTAATCAGCCAATCACTGATTTTTATCCTGTTGGCGTCACAAAGACGTCCTTCAGCATAGAAGCGTCGGATCGGACACTTAAAACTGACAAGGTGGAAGTGGAAGTTAAGGGTCCTAAGAGCCGAATGGATGTTGATGTTCAGTGGATTGAACAACGTGCAAAATGCAGGTTTACACCACGTGAGGCTGGAGAGTATCAGGTACCATTATGTCCATTGTAGAGCATATGGCATCGACTTGTATTCAATCAGATTATATAAAATATTATCTATATCATGTAAGATAGTTTCTTTAACTACAAAAGATGTATAAAAGGTTTTAGCTAGTATATAAGATATATGATATAATATATAAGATATTGTATGAATCTAACGAAATCCAGCATTGCTGTTTAAGCTTAAGTAAATGTTGAGTTGGCTGGCTATATTAGTATTTACCAGAGAAGGGAGAGTGTCTATTCCCTAGACGGTGTACAAGATATTTTTTTTTAATTTTATATCGAAATTTTATAACTTTTTTAATCTCTTTTATAAATGTACTAATAAAATGCATATGTAGAATTAGAAAAAAGGACAGAATAAAATTACAAATAAAAAAGTTTTTATTTAATCAAAGACGCGTCTTGGAATACGTTTACTAAACGTTTCTGTGAAAACACTGATGTTTGTTCGATAAGTCAATAAGACCGTTTTTTTCAACGTAGATATCAGTTCACTACAACAAAGTCCTGGTCAGTGGATGTCCGGTGAAATTCGTTGTTAAGGCTGACATGTCCAAAGTCCGGGTGTTGACCACTTCTACAGACTGTATAGTCGGCAGTAAACACCAAATACAGGTAATTCTCTCTACTAATCCTAATAGTATTTATAGAGTGAATTAGGACGTTGCTTATTATGATAATGGGAGTCGCCCATCCTAGTGAATACCACTAATATTGAAATGAAATTTCATAGAAATAATAGTCTGTCCAAATATGTAATTAAAAAAAATCCTATTTGGAATTTGTGTTAATCTCAAGAAAAAATAAACATAAATATATATACCCAGGGCCGAAGCTGAACCCCATTGATTGTCAGTGCGGTTCGTCAAATGTCAAGGTCACAGTAACCAAAAAAATAGTAATTCCTTTACCCAGATGTCTATACTTGACCAACATAAATGATCTCGCACGATGTTTAGTCTTGGTATGTGGATGGGCAAAAATGGGGGTGTTGATATTTAGCGTCGTCCATTAAAAGGTTACAGTTTCCCAAAAGATGATAAAAAAACATTTGTTGGGCTTGATTTGTCTAAGGTCAAGAAAGGTCGCTTTTTCAAAAACAAAAAAACTCACAACATTGAATTTGAAGTACATGTAACTAGTTAAAAGGGGGAATGCTAGGTCGAACATTAAACAAGCACGATCGCCTACAATCTAAAATCAGACATATTGTCCGGGGTTTCGGATAACTTATGTTTAACTAATTACTTACTGATATCGTTTTCCTTGGTAATCACAGTACTAAATAGTGTGGTTTTTCATTTAGGTAGAAGTTAGTGACACCAAATATGGTGTTATCTCCCTTGAAAGTCATTCGCCAGACGGTCAAGTCTATCCTCTTCCAGCAGAGGAAAATCAGGAGGATGGACTTCATGTAGCTAACTTCCGCCCAAAACATGTCGGTAAGATAATTTTACGTTAATATCACAAGAACGCCAAATTTCCAGTCCGAACCAATGAAAAAAATGCAAATGCAAATATAGACATTTCTAAATGTTAAAAATAAAACCGTGTTGAAATAATGATAGTTGTACTTTCATTATATAACAGTTTTTCAGAGCAATTTTATTTAATCAAAGTTCGTAATTGGTTTTAAATACACTTACAAATTACTCGTGTGGGATTATGTTCACATCTTTAATTGAATCATGTCAAAAATAATATACACATTTCCAATATCAAGTTATCACTTTTCTATTTTGGATTGTCAAGGTCTGTGGGTCGTGCAAGTCTACATTGACGGGGAGGAAGTTCCCAACTCACCGGTTAACTTTGATGCATATGACCCGCAGAAAGTGTGGCTCTCCGTGCAGGGACGAGGCGTTGTAGACGAGGTTGTTGTTTGTCATGGTGAGTGGGCGGGGCGTTGTATTCGAGATTGTTGAGTGTAATGGTGAATGGGCGTAGCGTGGTGGATGAGGGTTTATCTGTTACTGTTATTGGGCGAGGAACAATGAATGGTGTTGCCATGTGTCATTGGAAGTATAAGGATCGTTAAAGAACAATGCCATGATCAATAATGAGAGAGCAATGGTAGCATAATGGAAAACACAATCTTCTTTTGGAACGGCGGCGTTGGTTTGATTCCCCAATCGGAGTGGAAAGGTATTGGTTCACCTGCCCAACCACGGGTGTTTTCTCATGAAACTCCAAGATCCCCCAACATTAAAACATCATATGCGCTTCCATCTGTGCCAACAAGAGTGATAAATAAGAGTATGAAAACATACTACACAGTTGTAGAAAAAAACTGAATAAATATTATGTTGCATGGCATTGTGGATAATTGTTTTCAAGTATCTTATTTAGTGCTGTAATTGTAGTTAAATTCCTGACCTTTCATATCAATCCTGTTTAAGATGGATACACTCTTACGTCTTGCCTCTCTCAACAGTTGATGTAACTGACGCCGGAACGGGCAAGGTCTCGGCAACAGTCACACATCTCGGTAAGCCGTCTACTTGCGATGTCACCAAGCAGGATGACGGGAATTGGTCGATCACGTTTGTCCCTACATGTCCAGGATCATACTTCATGAATGCTGCTTTTAATGGCACTACTATTACAGGTAAACACTAATGTTTGTTTAGACTCAATATGAGTCCCATGTCTTCCTGGAATGAGTACTAGTGACTCTTGTCGTAATTTGCACTCGAGGTTATAACAAAATGGTAGTGTCTGGTTGTATTATTGGCTGCACCGGGAGGTTCCAGAAAGAAGAAACATCGACGAGGTGCGAGATTATTGCTTAGTACTTGTCTTACATTACACATCAAAATTATTAGAGCAAAACACTATTTCACAGGAGAATCAGGCTAGTAATTTTTGAAGTATTGGAATGGAACTGGCCGCAATGATTATGTTATATATATATCAACATTTCGGTTAAGCTGTCTGTGAAACAATGAAAAATTGACCAGTGGAATGATTTGACGAGTTCCAATAAAAATGATAAATCCATTTGGTTTCGTTATAAGCACATATAAGCTTTGGGTGTAATTCAAGAACCAAATAACAACCAAATCAATAAGACGGTTCTGATAGGTTTATCTTAATATCGGATCGTATATTTGCGAAAGTTCTTGAGCCCTTCGTCTCTATAAAGAATAAGGCCATTGCGCCCTGTCATGACGGCTTGCTTTATCTGCAGTTTGAAGTGAAGAGATTGTTCTCTCTTTTGTTCGTATACTTTTGAAGTATTCATTTTTCGTTTAAAATTCCTATTAAGTATAACAATTTGTCATATTTCTGAAATATTTATCGACACAAAATTACTCATACAATCTAAACAACTTTCACCAAGAAGCTATCAACAGCACGTCTGGTTCCGTTAACAATGACATATCATGTGGTATTGGTTGTGTCTATGAAGAGATATAAACCATATCTAGGACAGACTAGCATTCGTTTTCTTATAAAACCAATCAATTTAGTCATAACTCTTGAAAAAAGATTTAAAGGTATTTGCATCTTCCATAACGTTGAAATGAGCCTTAAATTAAATGCGTGTAATTGTGGAAGTAACAACAATTGTACAGGATGTCCGAAATTGGTGGATGTGGTGGACCCTGGTCAGATAACAGTAACTGGTGAAGGAATCTCTCGAGGCCTGTGTGGGAAGGAGTCCAGATTTACCGTGAACGCTGGCGATCTCGGAGGGAACATAGCAGTCAACATCCAAGGTAAATACACTTCTTCCTGGCCTTTAAAATGTTGTTCGTACCATTTTCTCCTTCTAAGTCGATGTCTTCTTTCCCTACTCCTTTTTTAATAATTATAAAAAAAATGAAAAAAAAATCATATTGGCTTAAATTGACTGGCTGTTGTATTTATTTTAAACTTTCAGCGGGAGATGCAAAGGTAGATACGAGATGGGAGGAAGTAGGACCCACGGCATACCAATTCTCATATACACCGGCACAGACAGGGGTCTATGCCATTACAGTTCTGTGGAATGATGTATGCGTTCCTGGTAAGTGTCTACAGACTGGGGTATTTACTGTAACAGTAACACTATGTGTGTCGATGGTTTTTGTCTTTAGACGAGTGTCTGTACGGTCATAGTTTTGTGTAACGACATGGGTCGCCCAGGAAAACAAGCAATATCCAATGTCTAGAATCAGAATAATTTTAGTCGGTCGATTTAGTACTATGTATTTATTGCTTAAGATGAAATAATCTATGGAAAACACAGTGGGGTGCAAAATACGTTCCACTCTGGTGTTAAAATAGATACATCACCCAATTAAATGAATTATATCACCTGTCGCTGTTACAGGAAGCCCCTTCAATGCAAAGATTACAGACAGGTCAAAGGTGAGGTTGAAGGACGATCTGAGTGGGGATAAGGATGAGAATGACTATTTAGCTTTGGTGTGTGGGACTGACACCACCCTCCACTTCGACATCAGCGAAGCAGGCCCAGGTATGTAAAATATAAACACAAACACAGCATTGTAGGAATTTTAACAGAGACCTTAAGAAAATAACCGTATCAGTCTAGTACATGATTTAAAACTATCAGTCTGTCTATGTAAAACTCCACATTGCAGTTATTTTCAAATTAAATGAACATGTATTAAGAGACCATCTGCAATATGAGAACACGTTATGGACTTGAATAATACTGTCTTGCTGTACTGAAAGGCTGTACTTGAGGCACCCTACCTCGTTACGAAAAGTTCTGACGTCAAAACTGCGTTTCTGTATTTTCTGTTCATTTTTCTCTTTTCTTTTGTTTGGCACCCTTGTATGTCTTGAGGTGTAATACGTATCCTAACTTACTTAAGTAAAGACGGATATACTAATATATATTCCGCTGGAGCTATTCAGTTTCGATAATCATTTTCTGACTTCGTTGCACTATACATGTTAACAAGTGCCTATGTACTACCTGTAATGGTTATTCGAATAACAAATCCACTGTAAATTCTTGTGTATTGCCCACTACGTTATATTGCCTTCGGGTATCTGCTAATCAAAATAAAACTCAATAATTAATTTCCACTAGAGTACTCTACAAAAATATAATACAGTTACAGTTATATGCGCCTATATTTCATGCATACTTTTGATGATTAAACTTCTTTAACTGTGTTGTGCTTTTGTTTATAATTGAAACAATATCGCATATCTCTCCCTTTTGATGGCTTTTCAAAAACATTTCGTCAAATTGCTTGCTTCATCACATAGCAAACATGGAGCATTTTCACGTTTAAGACTGTATATCCTGCAGAATATATGTAGAATATAACGGTACATGCAAATTAAGATGTCTGCTTCTACATGAATTTGCATTATATTTCATTCCTAAGACTGTAAGTCCGAGAAAACGTTTGGCTTCTTCCCGGAATGTTTACAATTTTCTCCCCCTTTATAATATCCAGGATCCTTTAATGCGGAGGTGCTGGCCCCTAGTGGCAAGCTTCCCGTGAAGCTAGACCAACCTGATGAAGACGAAGTTGCTGTCAGCTTCAAAGCCATAGAGGAAGGTAAGTCTGGATACATGTTGATAAACATGTACATGATATTACAAACAAGTGATTTCGAATTACTGTTTCGTTTGCATTTCGATATTCTCTTGTTTTCCTGTCAGCATTTAACTAAAACAGTTTAATTATACAGATATATATGTTGATGACGTCTTGCTTTCAGGTGATCATTACATACACCTCTACTGGTCAAACGTCCCTCTGGACTCTTCCCCAATTCTCTCCTACTGTCCGGGACCCATACTCCCAATCGACCACACTAAGGTCAAGGTAACAGGGAAAGGAATCACAGAAGGTCGTGCGGGAGTTCGGATGGCATTCATGATCGACGGGAAACTTGCTGGCCCCGGTATGTCTATTAAATAATGAATTATACTACACTGTAATACAGCAACACATTACAAGCAAGATGTGTATGTGTTCCGTCTAGATAAGTGAACTGGTATTACTTTTAGTGAGAATTGGGTCACAAATGTGAAGGTTGTTAAGCATTTAGTTAAAAAAAAAAACTTGTTCAGAATGCAGAAAGTGAATAATGTACTAATAAAAATGAGACAGTTTCTGGAAAAGAAATTAGACTGTCTGCATTATACAGTAGGTAAGAAAATAGATCGTCAAGTTCCTGAGAATTTATACAGAATGAAAATAATATAGTTTTTTTTCAATTGCATTTGAACTTTCACGGAATGTTTCGGGTTACTAAATAAGATACCGCATATGCTGCAAAAGATCTGTCAAAACATAACGAAATCGTGATTCATACAAATAGCCTACAAATACGGAGAGTTAACTGGAAGTATCTGAGTCATTACGCTTCTTGCAAATTAAACTCATCTTTGTTCAGCTGATGCAAAAACTGATATGATGATTGGAGCACAAATAACTTTGACACATACAGCTTTAGGAAATTTGGCATAAAGAAGTTTACATTTCTATTTGAATTACATAGTGATTTGTCAGGGGTATACCGCTACTCTTTGCTCGCATCAGCCTACAACTTAGAGTTTGTGTGACTCCCGGTTATGCTAGCTTGCGAGTCAAGGCATATCTGCAATAGGCCTCGAGCCAATATCGCAGCCAGCACATGTACAACAGAGCTCTGTAACCGATGATGGAAAGCAACTGCGCAATCAAAGTAACTAAAGTCCCTTTAACAATATTGGGTTCACATCCCTATATACCGGACCATCCTTGGGTCTCCCCCCGTTAAGTACGACAAACATTTAGATAAGTTAATTATCATTCATTCAAGTGTCAACTTAACGTTCACATACAGGTGTGCCAAAGGTGGAGATGCAGGGCGTAAGGTCCAACCCAACGGTTCAAATGTCGGCCCTGAAGTATGACCGGTACCGCTGTCACTACACCGCCCCCTCCCCTGGAGCTTACCTTCTCTACATCTACTGGTCAGGAACGAAATTGATCAACGTACCGTACAAGTTATCTGTGTCCCATAGAGGAGCTGGGGGAAAGGTGAAGGTCATAGGTCGTGGACTCAAGGGCGGATTCGTGGGTCAGGAGCTCCGCGTCATAGTGAACACGACCTCTGCTGGATACGGTAAAGTTACAAAAAATAATTTTCGTAACGATCCCCGTACCACTGCCTAAAACTGGAACAATGCTTGACTATAGCTTTGATAAGTCATTTCTGATCTTTGAAAAGAAATCCCATATACTGTGGGACTTAAACGAAATAAACGAAATATAATCAATAATAGTATTCTGGATGTAAGTAATTCAGTGGGGTTTAAAGATTAGACCAGGATTAGGACCCTGCAGTACATATTGTAATAATGTTTCTCTAACCGACCGGGCAATCTGGTCAACGGAAGTGTCCTGAACCAACTGTGCATTAGTAATATCCAAACGGAAGTTAGGGGGAGGTAACGCCATAAACGAATAACCATGGTGTAAGAACGTTTAACATATTTTATTTCTCTAGCATCAAATGGGATTCACATTATTTCAATAGGAATTTATTCAAGGAATTGACCTAGCGTGTTTCATTGTATAATTGCTTGAGGCGGATAATGTCAGTTGTAAAGAAAAACATTTGCTTAATCATGGTTTCCCAAAATGCCATCATCTGCTTAAGAAAGCAGAATTAAGGGCGATATTTATCTATCCGTGTAAATTTCTCTTCTACATTCTTTCTACTTCCTTGTCTCTTTGTCCCTCTAATCTTTACCTTTAGACTTTACAAACATTTACTTAACCACTCTTCCACTTTCATTTTACCATACCGACCTACCAGATATATTGTTTTACCCTTATCCATGTTTATTTTGCCTCTGCCCTACTACAAAATTATTTATTTCATTCTCTTCTGGATAATCATCGAGTTTCTCAATCTCCCAATTTAAGAATATTCTCAGTAACCCGGTGTTTTATGCTGCTTCTGACCAGCGATTGAATCTCCAACCATGTTTCCTTATACACCGACAACGAACCGCCCACATACGTTGTCGCTATTACTGTTACAGATATGTATGCCAAGTTTCCTCTTTCGATACTTGGCTTGGCTAACATTTACATTGCTTCGCAGACAAGTCATAAGAGGCTATTAATGGATTTATCTATCTCTTTTCTCATAAGCGTAATCGAGATACTCAGTTACGTCATATCAATGTTAAACGGGAAAGTATTGCCATGTGGTAATATTTGCGTTTTTTTGCAGTGAGTAAATTAGCTCGAAAATATTCATTCACAATATATAATGATTATATATATGCAATAATTAATATATACTCAGAGCCAGTGTCAACATGAACATTTCCGAATCGCAATCAGCGTCAAAGCGTCACAATGCAAATGTTTCCACACGCGAAAGTTTCCACTTTTACAGTTATAACTAATGTTTGCGTTGCGCCCCGAGGTAATCCAGTATTACCCGAGTCACATAGCAAGAACTGTGATAACCCCAGTGTAATGGAAGACGATTAGGATGCATAACCCCCAAATCTTCCTGATGAGTAAATAATTTAATCACACAGCATTTTATTCTATATTAGTTATCCACCCACTCAGCTCCTATCCATTTTGATTCTTTTGTCACTGTTGCGACAAAAAACATTTTGATCTCCTCTCAATAAATCATATAAAAGAATTTCCAATTTGTTTTATATTTCTATCACAGGTGAGGTGGCAGCAGAAATGAGCGGAGTGTTACAGCCAGCTCGCTGTGATATTTTGGACCAGCAAAACGGTATCTTCACCTTGAGATTGTTTCCTACAGAGGCGTGTAGACATAGTCTTTCAATCAGTTTTGATGGAGAACATGTTCCAGGTATGAAATATTGATGTGTGATATCAGGGCCTACACGTACGATAACTATAGTCCGATGTGTGTCCTTTAATCAATGAGAAAAATGTGGCACCGGAGGATTGCTATATAATAGTTGTAAGAAACAGAGAAAACTCGCGGGAGGAAATATAACTAAAATCAAGTTAGTGTAAGCTTTACTTACAATTAAACACGGAAGTATGACTGAATTCAACCTAAATATGTACACAAAGACCAAATACTTACTTATAGTAGCACACTTATTATAGAGATACATATATGTAATCAATTGATTTACTTTTGGCAAGTTAGTCAGGAAATGCACGTATGTACTGATACACCACAGCTTACGTCTTAAATAATCAAAAACGACCACAAAGCCAATTTAGACAGTATGACGGTTAAATATTACTATATATGGAATGCAATAAACATCTATTGCAACGCCAAGAAAGTCTTTTTGCGATTTTCACATGCATAAGGATTGGCTGGACTGACATCTCTCTGCAAACAATGATATCATTTTCTTAAGAAAAAACAGGTTGTCGTGCATAAATCTGCCAATGTGTCTTGAACACGATTTGTTGCTTTGGCCAATTAAAGATTGGAGATCTGCATATTTAGAGACAATTGGCGGTAATGAACATCAGAGAATCTCCTTCGGTAATCGCATGATGTTCAATCGCTTAAGTGACCTGACTATGACAGATAAATCGCATGATGACGAAAGTAATTCCTTTCGTATGAATATTGAAAGATCTTTTTGCACAACATTTCTAAAACTCGCGAACGACCCTGACAAATCTATGAAGCACAGGAGGAATGGACTATTCGTATTAAGGAGGTTAAGTTTGCATGCGGAAGTCGATAAACTAGAATTTGATTGGCCATGATATGTAGTTAAAGATGTAACTTTAAGAAGTAAAACACGTCTGTGAAGATTGGTATCGGAATGCAACCTAATTTCTAACAAACATATTTCATGACATGCTGTAGATACACATATATAGAAATAGTCCGAGAGTTACCAATGGAGACATCATACAATGTACTATTGCATGTGTCATTTTGGTTAATCTCAATACGGTGAAAGCATAATAGTATTGAAAGATTATATTCATTTATACAATGTAATGTCTAACATTCCAATAACTATGATAAATGCTATTTGAATCATTATGTCATATTAGTTGTTAAGGTGATTGTTAAAAAATTCACTGATCTCGATATGACGAAAGCACGCTAGCATTGAATAAAAATTTACAATGTCTTTCATTCCCATAATTTTGCTAAATGTTATTTGAATCTTATCAACAGCCGTGTATCACTTTGAATTATGAGAATGGTATATTTTGAAAGAGATCTGCTTGCAGTAATGTAAATGAATTAGCAATTTGAAATCTGCTCTGAAATGATAATTCGTGGTGTTGAAAAGTTTAGCTAGTTCAGTATTTATTACATCTGTAAAACAAATATGTTCAAGTTGACACAATGAGTTACTGAGAGACATCCATATTGCAATATTGAACGCAAAACTTTCTACAATGATATACGTTTTGAAGAATCAAAACAAAATATTTCCATTTGCACAATTTACAACTGTTGATATATGACAGGAAGCCCATTCACCATCCCGGTGGGGGAACCGCCCGACCCTCGGAAAGTCCGTGTGTATGGTCCAGGAATACAGGATGGATTGATTCAATCATTTGAGAGCAAGTTCCTCGTGGAAACATATGGAGCTGGGGCTGGCCAGTTGGCGGTACGGATCAGGGGCCCAAAAGGTATGAATAGTGAAGAGGAATATGCTAATATCAGATATGTGATAATGTTATGATATTCCTTTCTGTGTTTACATTTGCTATCAACCGTACGAAAATCGTAATTCCCTGCAGATTCGGGGAAAGAACAGTCCAACTGCATTTGACCACATGTTATCGTAAGGGGGACCACCTGTTGATTTCTTCTGTTTCCTCTGGGGGAAGGGAGGGGAGGGGAGCTTGAGGGACGCAATGGATCTGCTGCACCCAATGCGCTGTCTTCCTAGGCACCAATCTTCATACATGTATGGCCTTAGTTGTTGCAATAACTCAAAACAAGCCAAAAAGGAAACAACAACGAAAAGCTCAAATAGAATAGTATTCAACACTGTATCACACACATGGTTTGAAATCTTTTCTGTCTATCATTGTAGGAGCATCACACACATGGGTTGAAACCCTTTCTGTCTATCATTGTAGGAGCATCACACACATGGGTTGAAACCTTTTCTGTCTATCATTGTAGGAGCATCGCACACATGGGTTGAAACCTTTTCTGTCTATCATTGTAGGAGCATTTAAAGTGGACATGGAACGTGAGCGACAAAATGATCGTACCATTCTGTGTCGATATGACCCATCGGAGCCCGGTCAGTATGACCTTATTGTCAGATGGTCTGGCCATCACGTGACCGGTAGTCCTTTTTATGTGAACGTCTTTGAGACTCGGGAGGAGCTACAGAGATATTTGGAGACAGAGAAAGGTGTGTCTATAGATATGCACACAGGATATGAATGGCTAGAAGAGGTTTAGAGCAAGTTATCAAATTACACGGAATATGGAAACAGAATACCGGTGACAACAAGATGAAATTAACAACAGTTGTGAAGCTACTATAATACCTTATTTGGTGCAATTATATTTCAGTATAATTTCCAGAAAAGCCTTCTCTAGAAGATTTCCTCTTACCAATGTCTTCCTGAGTCAAATTCTATAAGTAATTGTGGTAATTCTTCCGTGCTGTATGTTGTATATCATGTAGAAAGATTTACATTTATAATTGACATTATTTTAACGGCATTAAGTTTATCAGACTAAGTCATGGTTGCAATACAGTTCATATTTATTTTCACAATAATAGTTTGTACACGTAACTTTTTGCAATATCATTCCTTACAGGAGTTTAAGTATTCACATTTAATTTACTTTTTGCATATTTGAATCAGTGACAAAATGGCTACAATAATATAGCCACTAAAGAGGGGTATGATAAGAAAATGCATTTTATTGTATTGTGTGAATACCTATCTTGTTGTTGTGAATATTAATGTAGGTATATGTACACCATTTGTATAACACACACGATATGTGTATTACTCTGATTATATATGTGCATATTTATCAGAGTAAGTTGAATATTGAATATATTCATATTTTATATAATCGAATGAACTGAATAAAAGGTGTGACAGGTAAAACTGTTAACAATGGACACGGGTTCATAGAAGAGGATTTTTTAATATTTATTTTTTACACGTTTTTGTTTCTTTATTTTGATCTCACTGATGGTATTTATGGTATCTGCGGAAAAGTCAAAGCTTGTTTGATACCTAAAATATACCCATAATGCTTCCAAGTACTGAAATACTAAAAATGCCGAAATACATGGCAAAGGCGAAAATTCTGAAAGTGTTACAATGTATATATACAATGTAGAACCTTACACTACGGACACTCATGGAGAATTATATCAAACAGTATAGTACATATACATCGAGGTATATTGGGGAATGGTATATACCATTCAATTATTCAGCGAGGTTTATGATTTCCTAATATTTGTTGTATTTGTTTTCATTAAATTCATTTTGTATACGTCACAGATGCTAAACACAATAGCCAGAGAAAAATGTTTATCAAGATTTTGAACTCCAGTTTCATAGCAGGGAATGGATTTAACAAGGTATCAGATAATGTGATAGATATTATATGTACAATCACATCAACCCACTCTGTAAATAACTCTGTACAACCAACCAATACCTTAACAATGATGGTTTTATTAGTTCCCGTACATGTACAATGCTATTTTTCCTATTAATGATAATACAAGTATACAATTAGGTACTAATTAGTTCCAATACATGAACTATGCTTTCGTTTTTAATAAAAGTACAAAATAATGTTCAATTTAGTTCCAATCCGAGTATACTAGTGTACTTATAGTTTCAATAGGGGGAAAACAGTTTCCCCATTATAATTAGTTTTCCGGATAAATATACAAAAAAGTACTTGTACAATAATGGACTTATCAGAACAAGTCGTGTACAATTATTTCCTTATTATAAAGTCGTATGACTGTAAGAAGTTATGCAATTATCAAAGTGTTTGTATTTAGCATACATTATACAGAATGGATGGGAGTGTAACAGTTATGCCAATATTTGAAAGTATATGTGCATGCGAGTGTTATGATTTTAACTTGATAAAACCATTTTACTCTAATTAAAATCTGTTGCAAGCAATACATTTGCGATTCTGTTATTTTTCCCTTTTTGATTTGAGAAGTAATCTGAAATCAGTGAAAATGTACTCTCTCATGTATAATTTTTATAATGTACATGAATCATTAATCTTGTGTTTCCTCTTAGATGACTTCAAAAATATTCGAATTCTGAATGAGAAAAAGACGTTGAGTGTAAACGCGTACGTATGGGTGACATGCACAACGTCATATCAGGATTACTACAAATAATAGTTGATCTTGCATCAACATTTTGAAATCTAAAAACAAGAGGCCTAATAGGCCTGCATTGCTCCCCATGGTATAAATCTCACAACTGTAACCTTAAAGGGGACTAAAATAATGTTACAGGCAAAATATCGATGTCTTGACTCAAGTTATTCAAAACCTGTTGAAAGATTTAAGGACATTTCACCCCTGTGATCTTGAAAGTTAAACAAGGACATACAATTGAACAAACTTTATAGACCTTTATCCCAGAATGCAACTTACCAAATATCACCACCCTATACCAAGTTTATTTGGAAAATGACTTTTAAAGATTTATACACAATTGACCAAATGTGACCTTGAATTTGAGCATGCTAGTTGTCACATTTCACCATCCTTTGATTATTCAGTTGAAGTCCGTTAAATGTTTTAACATATTTTACCCCTGTGACCTTGAGTATAATTCAATGTCATTCTTTTGGACACTTTTTTCAAACCTTTCATCGATCTCAGCATGCTTCTAGCTAAATATCATCATCCTAGCAATTTTTTATTTAGGCCAAGTCATTTAAGTATGTATTTGACATATTTGACCCCTGTGAAGTTGAATATGGGTGAAGGTTAAATTGGAAAGAAATGGTAGCACTTTATGCCAGCATGCTTCTGATCAAATACCATCACCCTGGTCCTTTTGGTTATTCAGAAGAGGTTGTTTTAAGATTTCAACACATTTGACCCCTGTGACCTTTAATAGGGGTGGAGGTATCGCATTTCATTTGAACAAACTTAGAAGCCCTTCCTCCCAGTATGTTTCTGGTCAAATATCATCACCTTAGATATTTTGGTTATTTAGAAGAAGTTGTTTAAAGGAAAATTTTGATGCCGGACGCCGAACAGACAGAGGAGGGACGCCTGGCCATGGCATCAGCTCATTTGGCCTTTCGGCCAGGTAAACTAATAATACTAATAGCAGTGAAAAAAACAAACGTCAGTATAGACCCGGAATCGACTCTTGGACCTCAGACAAAAATAAACCAAAAAAAATCTGAGATGGCTGCCAGTTGGTGGTCATTTTTTTCTGATCACTGTCAAAATGAAACACGCAAAACTTGGGATCAATGACGATTCAAAAGTGATTTGTTAAATATCTGTTTAATACCTCTTGAGAAATAGTGCTAGCAAAATAGTGAACGTTCAAAAATCAACATGGTTGTCTGGTGGTCATCCTGTTTTTCAAATCAGTCTCGAAATGAAACAAGCACAGAAAAAGGCCAATGGGAACATACATGTGAATTTGGAGAAAGATTACTACAGTACTTTCAGAGAAATTGCACTAACAAACTTTTATTCTAAAAATTTGGTTTCCTGATCAGTCCAGAAAATTAGTTTTGCATTACCATGAACCACGGGTAACACTCATGTAAAATTTAAGAAAGATCACTACCGTACTTTCAGAAAAAATAAATCTTACAATTTTTAACTTTCAATTTTCAAGATGACCGACAGGCAGTCATCTTGGTTTTCCGTTCAGTCACAAAATTTAATGTGCAAGTGCATAATATGGACTATGGGGAACATACATGTGATATTTTAGAATGATCAATCCAGTAGGTGGGGTGGCGCAGTGGAAAGCGCACTTGCCTATCTCCAAGGTGGCAGGGGTTGATTCCCTGATTGGACGTGAATAGGTACGGGGTCACCTGCCCGCAACCACGTGTGTTTTCTCCGATACTCCGGTTTCCTCCCACATTAGGACCCCCCATGTGCTAACATCCGGGCCAACAAGAGTAATTAATATAAATTGAAATAACTTGTTTCATAATTGTTGTAAAACAAATAAAGTTCATAATTCAATCCAGTTCTTTTAGAGAAATGGTGGACTTTGAATGAATGTCAATAGCTAATAATAAACTAAATTTGAACACCAAGAACAAAAAGGGAACCTGTGTACAAAATTTGAGAACGATCTGTCCTGGCCTTCCTGAGAAATAGCAAACAAGAGGCCCAATGGGTCTGCATTGCTCACCTGGTATTTGTTAATCTCACACTTGTAACCTCAAAAGAGATCTAAAATAAAGCTACAGGCAAAATATGAGTATTCATGACTTAAAGTCATCCAAAAGAACCTATTAAAAGATTTTAAAACATTTGACCCCCTTGACCTTGAAATTGAACAAACTTTATAACGCTTCATCTACAAATGCAACTTGCCAAATATCCCCACTCTATACCTGTTGTTTATCAAGATTATGACATTTAAAGGTTATACATATTTGACCAAATGTGACCTTGAAAGTGAATCAAGGTCATTATAATGAAAAAAATTGATAGCAGTTCATTCAGAAGAAGTTGTGACCTTCACTAGCAGTCAAGGTAATTCATTTGAACAAACTTGGTAGCCCTTCATCCTAGTATGCTACTGGCCAAATATCAACATTCTCGGCCTCATGGTTGTTCAGAAAAAATCGTTTTAAGATTTTAAAGATTTTTGACCCCTGTGACTTTGAATATAATTCAAGGTAATTCATTTTTACAAACTTGGTAGCCCTTCATACTAACACACTACTGGCCACATATCATCATCTTGGGCCTCTTGGTTATTCAAAAGAAGTAATTCAAAAATTTAAAACATATTTGAAACCTGTGACCTTGAATATAAGTCAAGGTCATTGATTTGAACAAACTTGGTAGCCCTTCATGCCAGCATGTTTCTGGTCAAATATCATCACCCTAGACCTTTTCGTTATTCAGAAAAAGTTGTTTAAAGGTTTTTTTAGACGATTGGCCCCTGTGACCTTGACTATGAGTGAAGGTCATATATTTGAACAAAATTTGTAGTCCTTCATCCGAGTATGCTAATGGCTAAATATCATCACCCCAGGTATTTTGGTTATTCAGCAGAAGTTGTTTAAAGTTTTTAACATAGTTGACCCCTGTGACCTTGAATATGGATGAAGGTCATTTATTTGAACAAACTTGGTAGCCCTTAATCCCAATTTTCTTCTTCACCTGAGTCCTACAGTATTTATTTTTGTTGTTGAAATATGTAGTAATTTGAGTAAAAAATAGTTAAGTATAATGTTAACTTAACTTTGTCAGGACCATGAGCTGATCATTCCTAGACCGATTTTCAGTGAGATCGGCCTATTAGAACTTGTTTTTAAGTTTGAAATAGGTACATGTATTTACAAAATAGCGGCCATGGCAGCAAAATTGTATTTCTGATTGACCCGAAAAATAACACTTTGTCAGGACCATGATTCGATCATTCCTACAAACTTTCAGTTCAATCGGCCAAGTAGAACTTTACTTTAAGTTTGAAATAGTCTTTCAAAATGGCGGCTGTGGCGGCCATATTGAATTTCTGATCGACCCGAAAAATAACAACACTTTGTGAGGACCATGAGTCGATCATTCCTACAAACTTTCAGTTCAATCGGCTAGCAGAACTTGACTTTAAGTTTGAAATAGTTTTTCAAAATGGCGGCCACGGCGGCCATATTGGATTTCTGATTGACCTGAAAAATAACAACACTTTGTCAGGACCACGAGCTGATCATTCCTACCAACTTTCAGTTCAATCGGCCTAGCAGAACTTGACTTTAAGTATGAAATAGTTTTTCAAAATGGCGGCCGTGGCGGCCATATTGGATTTCTGATTGACCCGAAAAATAACAACACTTTGTCAGGACTATGAGTCGATCATTCCTACAAACTTCCAGTTCAATCGGCCTAGCAGAACTTGACTAAGTTTGAAATAGTTTTTCAAAATGGCGGCCACGGCGGCCATATTGGATTTCTGATTGACCTGAAAAATAACAACACTTTGTCAGGACCACGAGCTGATCATTCCTACCAACTTTCAGTTCAATCGGCCTAGCAGAACTTGACTTTAAGTATGAAATAGTTTTTCAAAATGGCGGCCGTGGCGGCCATATTGGATTTCTGATTGACCCGAAAAATAACAACACTTTGTCAGGACTATGAGTCGATCATTCCTACAAACTTCCAGTTCAATCGGCCTAGCAGAACTTGACTAAGTTTGAAATAGTTTTTCAAAATGGCGGCCACGGCGGCCATATTGGATTTCTGATTGACCTGAAAAATAACAACACTTTGTCAGGACCACGAGCTGATCATTCCTACCAACTTTCAGTTCAATCGGCCTAGCAGAACTTGACTTTAAGTATGAAATAGTTTTTCAAAATGGCGGCCGTGGCGGCCATATTGGATTTCTGATTGACCCGAAAAATAACAACACTTTGTCAGGACTATGAGTCGATCATTCCTACAAACTTCCAGTTCAATCGGCCTAGCAGAACTTGACTAAGTTTGAAATAGTTTTTCAAAATGGCGGCCNTTCAGTATGATTTAAAATATATATGTGAAATATATTCTTTTGCATGAAAAAAAACATTTGATGTTACCCTCTGTATTATACTTTAGTTTAGAAAAATATAAACCGAGCAATAATATAATTAAATATCCATTATTTCAGACATATGAACAATTTTTGTATATACGAATTTAACAGTTTCATACCATTACAGATATAGGCCACATGTTAGGAATGTAAATGTTACCCTTCCTTTTGAGCTTTAAATAGTTTATCTTGGGTCGTAATTATAAGTACTGACTAAATACTTCTGTAATACCTCCAAAAACATATGAAATGGGTGCGGGGGGTTTGGGCATAAGACTTCTGATGAAAATTTCAAGTTGTGATCAAACACGAAACCTTGCATCATACTTAATTCTATATTTTACTAGATCACGTACTACTTTTGTTTTTTTAAATCTTGTGGAACAAGTTACAAACTCAACTTGTAAACTTGGTGACAGCAGCAATTCTACAGATATCTCAACATATACAATTATCATTAACTCTATAAATAGCATTTTTCCTTTGAAAATATGAGCAGTAAAGGTATAATGCATTATATTTGTGCTATAATAAGTAGAAGTTACAAACTCAACTTCCAACAAAGTGTCATACCATATCATTTGTTAACATGTTGCTGACATCTCATGATCATTCTGCATAAGTATCATTATTCAGCCTGCATCAGCCCAACACAAAAATAATTTGAGTTTCGGGTAACATGCCAGAAAAAAACCAG